CTAGTGCTAGTGCTAGTGCTACTGCTACTGCTAGTGCTAGTGCTACTGCTACTGCTAGTGCTAGTGCTACTGCTAGTGCTAGTGCTAGTGCTACTGCTACTGCTACTGCTACTGCTGCTTTATGCACTTTTCTTTTAAGTTTTTTTGGAACTATAAAAATACTAACGAAAGAACTGTACATAAGATAAATTGTCATGTAGCCCATGTTTTATTATTTTATTAATTTTAGATGTTGACGAGTGTACAGCCCAGACTGATAATTGTTAAGTTCCTTTTTTTTTTTAATTTCCAGGAAATCCCTTTCCCTTACTAGGAAAACATAAGTGAATTCGTAGGGGAGAAGTTGTGGCCTCTTGAAAGTCGAAGCCGTTTCAATACTTTAGTAATTTGTAAAATTTATTCGTGTTTAAAGACCAAAATGATCTTGAGATCTACAAAACCTGCTAGTTTGATCGTATCAGCAGGACGAAAGTGTATCTCCGCGAGGCCATGTAATATCCTTTATTTATATCTATGTTAATTAGCCTTGCTCACCTAGTTTGCATGTGCAAAATGCAAAAGAATTTTTACTTTCAAACGAAACCAGAAAGGCTCATTTATATAGATATGAAAGAATAAGTAAATGGTGGGCTGCTATTATGAAAGAAGTCTATTAAGGTCAAAGCCCTGAGCGTGGAATCGTTTGATCAAATTATTTTATTAGAAGACCTGTTATTAATGCATGGATGAGACAGCGTGTGTTGGCGATTATCAATTTCTGCTCTTTTACAGTTATAAGAGAGTGATCTTGGAAGGACTATCTTTGTAAAAGTCTGGGAGACTGCCTCTAACCCGATGTTACCATGGTGATCTAGGGGAGGGTTACTCCGACTTTTCCACCAACTTGGTCCCAAGGGCTTTTCCTAGGAATTGCCCTGGGGACTGGGAAAAAAGTTTGATAATATTTCCGCTCGCTGAAGAGATCTGACGCGTGAATTTAGCGGTATACTTGTACAGTTTAAAGAGGCTCGTTATAACAAAAAGTTTTAATTCTGCTGTGAGCTCAGTTCCTGACGATGTACATAAGTCATACTAGTTTCTGTCTGCTTGAAATTATTTGATGCATTGAGACTTTAATTAATTTAACTTAGGTCCAGTGGAGTAAATATGTTTATACTACTACATGAGAAATTACTGCAATTTGATTGGCTTAGAGCAGTGGTATTTCAGCTTAATTTGAAATACCTACATGTGAAAATTACAAACCTTTTGTGGGTAGTAGTATAAACAAATAATAGCATGATTTGTAGTGATATTTGCNTATAGATATGAAAGAATAAGTAAATGGTGGGCTGCTATTATGAAAGAAGTCTATTAAGGTCAAAGCCCTGAGCGTGGAATCGTTTGATCAAATTATTTTATTAGAAGACCTGTTATTAATGCATGGATGAGACAGCGTGTGTTGGCGATTATCAATTTCTGCTCTTTTACAGTTATAAGAGAGTGATCTTGGAAGGACTATCTTTGTAAAAGTCTGGGAGACTGCCTCTAACCCGATGTTACCATGGTGATCTAGGGGAGGGTTACTCCGACTTTTCCACCAACTTGGTCCCAAGGGCTTTTCCTAGGAATTGCCCTGGGGACTGGGAAAAAAGTTTGATAATATTTCCGCTCGCTGAAGAGATCTGACGCGTGAATTTAGCGGTATACTTGTACAGTTTAAAGAGGCTCGTTATAACAAAAAGTTTTAATTCTGCTGTGAGCTCAGTTCCTGACGATGTACATAAGTCATACTAGTTTCTGTCTGCTTGAAATTATTTGATGCATTGAGACTTTAATTAATTTAACTTAGGTCCAGTGGAGTAAATATGTTTATACTACTACATGAGAAATTACTGCAATTTGATTGGCTTAGAGCAGTGGTATTTCAGCTTAATTTGAAATACCTACATGTGAAAATTACAAACCTTTTGTGGGTAGTAGTATAAACAAATAATAGCATGATTTGTAGTGATATTTGCCATAAATACCACTTGTGATATTTCAAAATTGTCTCAAATTTCACTCGCCTAATGGCTCGTGAAATTTCGTGTAACAATTTTGAAATATCACTCGTGGTATTTATGCCAAATATCACTACAAATCATGCTATTACCTATACTAACTGGTCAGTATTCAAAGTGTACTTACTTGGATGCAAGAGGAATTTGTTCTTTTAAGTAGTCAAGCACGGATATTGTATTTATGTGAGGTTATGTGGTTTAAACGTGTGCAAGTTAATTAACACCTCCTTCTTTTGCTATAAAACTGCAACATATTTCAAATTCCAAATGCATTGGATTGCATAACTATGGCCAAGTTAACCTTTATTGACTGAGAATCTCCACTGCCAACGCTTCCGTTTAAAATTTATCTTACTATTGTCCCATGTTATCTTGACAACCTTGAGTATATTTTACTTGTTCAATGCAGACACAATTACTTTGTTTTCTTTCAGACTTAGACGAGTGCGCAACTAACA